AATTGTTTCAGTTGGAAAAGACCCTTAAGATCATCAAGTCCAACCATAAACCTACAAGGTCCACCACTAAACCATGTCCCTAAGCACCACATCTACCTGTCTTTCGAACACCTCCAGGGATGGTGACTCCACCACTTCTCTGGGCAGCCTGTTCCAGTGCTTCACAACCCTTTCAGTGAAGAAATTTTTCCTAATGTCTAATCTAAACCCCACCGGCACAACTTGGGGCCATTTCCTCTTGTCCTATCCGTTGGGAGAAGAGACTGATACCCACCTCACTACAACCTCCTTTCAGTTAGTTGTAGAGAGCATAAAGAAGGTCTCCCCTCAGCCTCCTCTTCTCCAGGCTAAACAGCCCCAGTTCCCTCAGCCTCTCCTCATAACACCTGTTCTCCAGGCCCTTCACCAGCTTCGTTGCCCTTCTCTGGACACGCTCCAGCACCTCAGTGTCTTTTCTGTAGTGAGGGGCCCAAAACTGCACACAGTATTCGAGGTGTGGCCTCCCCAGTGCCAAGTACAGGGGCACGATCACCTCCCTACTCCTGCTGGCCACACTATTTCTGATACAGGCCAGAATGGTGTTTGCCTTCTTGGCCACCTGGGCACACTGCTGGCTCGTGTTCAGCCAGCTGTCGACCAGAAGCCCCAGGTCCTTTTCTGCCAGGCAGCTTTACAGCCACTCATCCCCAAGCCTGTGGCGCTGCATGGGCTTGTTGTGACCCAAGTGCAGGACCCACAGTTAGGTTTCTGTAACAAATGACAGAAAAGGCAACCGAGCCCCAGCTGACAGGGTGCTGCACACAAGCCTGCACTACATGAGGTGACTCTACAGCCTCTCGAGGAGCATCTTGCTCTGAGGACATAGAACAGGGACATGGGAACAGCTTTGTGCCGTAGAGTTAGGCTGGTTTGTCCTGTTCTGCTTGAACTAGGTGGGCACCCATGCTGCCCTCAGGAAAGTTCACCAGTTCACTAAGAGCAGGCTTGCCTGATTGCTCTTGAGCACGTAGGCTGTCATTTAACAACACTCATTAAAATATCAATCTGGTCTTGAAGGGTTTTTAAACCCAGTAGCCCTGGCAGCAAAATGTGATGAAAACTCCCATCTTGTGAAATCATGGGCTGTAGCGTCTCTGCACTACTGTCTGGGTAAAGGCTGCTTAGTTCTGGGGCGTAGCATGCAGCAAATCAGCAAACTAGCGTAGCATGACTCTGCTGCAACACACGGAAATAAATCAAGTAACAGGGAGCAGCACTGGCAAGCATGTTGCAAAGACATCTAAACGATTCATTGTGCAGCTAGCACAGGTCTGCCAGACCCAATACTGAGCTAAGCTAATAAAACCTGGTGAACCCATGCTGTGCTTGCATCTGTGGTATAATTAATCTGTGACAAAACAATCTGCCTGCAGATAACTGTAAGATGACTATACGTACAAATTTAACAACTCACATTAATTAATACTTACAGCTAGATTAAAAAAAATCACTAATATTTGGCAACAAATAGCAAATATCATTACAACTCACAAGCATGAAGTTCGTGTATCATAATTATGAAACAGCAAAGTCATGACACTGTACATGTGCATTCTGATTTTGTAATTTAATTTTGATCTCCCTGTTATTATCATCGCTTATGACAGACAATTAACATAAATTATGTTACCATAGCACACAGAAGTCCCACTTACAGGCACTACTGCCTTGAGTGCTACACAAATAGGGAACAAAAGGTAACACCACAAGGTGTTAACACAGACCTATGAGACAAAAGACGATTGAGTATGAAGAGATGACGAGAATGGTCAACATGCCAAGAATAGATCTTTGCATACTAGCAGCTTAGCTACTGTCAATTTTTATAGGCATCACAGTAAAATAGCCCATTAGGGAGGGAAGGCTTTGCATGATGATAATGAGAGTGCTTCTTACTTAGAGAATAATTATAGTTTCTATACCATATTACCAGTGTTTCTCCTGCCCATGTCAGTTCAAACCAGGAGAAACTGTGTCAGGACAACAGCAATTTCTCCTTCTCCTGTTGCTCTGAAATCTGTAGTCAATTTGGGGTAGCTTCAGCAGTCTTTTCTTCTAAATCCTAATGTTAGGGATGGTAAGCGACCTAAAGGGGGAAACACTTGTTACCTATGGCAAAATGCAAAGTATTACAGGCCACAGCGTCTAGGCAATTTCTAGTCTCCACTCTTTTGGAAAAAGTGTCATCTTCTGACAAAAAGGCAGAAAAATTAAACAATCTCTTATAATCAGCCTAAGTGGCTGCTCAGTCCCATGTGTTAGGCAAATGTAGAAGTTAGTAGAGATTTGTCCACGTGCTGGACATTCATAGCTGGTGCCTTTCTAAGACTGTCTAGCCTTTGCTGAAATCTTGCAACTTGCAAAGAAGTCATGAGCCCTGGCAGTCTTTCAGGTATGTTAGTTGTCCAGGCCCAGAGCATAGCTGCCTTCTAGGAGCACCGTTGGCTATTTAGCTGGCTGAATCGAAGGTCAGCTGCTCTGCTAATAAGACCTGTTGTGAAGAAAGCTAGAAGTGAGGGCCTCCCTGTCCTTTTCCCTGGGAACTGCTTTTAAGCTGAGGCTGTACCACTGGCCCTTGCCTGTGTTACATGGCATCTGGGCAGAAGCTACATCTACATCTGGTCTCCCTCCTCCTTGATCCTGACTCTGATCCTGACTCAGACCTGCTGGCTGGGCTTCCTGGCTTGGTCTTGGACCTGCCTCATCACTATGGACATGCTGCGTGGTCATCGGACTATGTCTGAATCTGATCACTGTCTCTGTCCCTGATCATGAACCAATCATGCTGCTCCACATCCTGCTTCTTCTTGGTGAGGTCTCTGCTCCCACCTGCCTTGGTATCATGCTCCACCTTTGGCTTACCTTCCCTTGCAGAGCAGCCAGCCCTCACTGCCCCTTGACATTGCTACATTAATCCCATTACCACACAGCCACGCTTAAAAATTTAACCACACAGAGCTGTTGATGTGCAGAACAACTATGCTTACCGTCCACAGAAAAAGCGTAAGCCACGTGAGGCAGCAGAGACACAGATCCATCTCTCACAGCTTAGTTATCTATCACACCCATGCAGCTTCTCCACACACCTTTGTTTCACATTAAATGAATTCCTACACTTCAAGGTTGTGTGAAGATTTGTAAAGGCAGTGCACCCAGCCATCAAGACAGCTCTGACTTGGGGGAAGTCTTTGCAGAATGCAGAACCAGGATGAAATTTCTTTCCTTGCACGGGGCTCGTTAGGACTGCTGTGGCGCTTTAGCTATTCGTGGCTGCTGGACTAGCTCTGGAGGCTGTAGAGAGCCAAGCGTACAGATGGTCAACATACATTATTATTACTAGGTTGCGAGGCCTATACATGAACTAGAATCCTGTCAAATTAAGTTCAATATATATTGTGTATAAACAGAATACAGATGCACAAATATCTAAATATAAGACAGGATATTGCAGACATACGCGGATGGAGGAAAACCATTTTGGGTAGTACAATAGACAGTGGTCTCAGTACACCAGAAACTTACCATTATAAAATTTCATCACAAGAGATAATTGTTAGGGAGGGTTCAAAGAAGAAAGATGATACACTTTTGTGGATATTTAGGAGACCCGGGACAAAAGTGAAGGGAACAGTGAAAGCAAATAAGAGGACAACGTAAGAAAATAAGACTCTTTTCTGAAAATTCAGCAAGTGTCTATAAAATATTGATGTATTCAGCTGATGAGAGACAGGACCCAACTACTTGGTACTACATGATGACATGTGGGAAAGGGATAGGCTGTGAAAGCTTGCAGTTAATAAAAGACACTTGCCAAAACCAAAGAAAATAATGTTCTGAGAGTTAGGATGAAAGATGAAAACACAGAGAAGTGGTGTGGGTGGATAGGGAGGACCATGTAATAGAGATCTGATGCAGAGAGAATCCTAAAGACTTAGGGTGGAACTTTAACAGGTGATTTATATGATAATTTTAGCTGAACCTATGGCTGCTTATCAGTTTCATAGTGGCTAGATGCCCAATAAACAAACTTAATAATTTGTCTTGCATTTCTGACTTAAAAAACTAACTACTATTTGACTATTCCAAAATTACACAGTCTAGCAAGATTAAACATTGAACAAGTGATTAGCATCATCTGTTGCAATGAAATGACTCAAAAATCAGCATATACCTGTGAAAGAACCATATTGCCTAATTCAGGTATGCATTCGCTGGGACAGGAAAACAGCAGTGAAGAGTGTAGCAAGGGATGGACATCAGAGGCATGTGTGCATTAATAGGTGCCATTTCCACCTTTCACTGCTTACGCAAGTATTAAATTGTTTTTGTGGCGTTGTTTGTCACTGTGGTCGTCCATTGCTGCTTCCTCTTCAGTTTACTTCTTTCTGTCCTCAGCCCTACCATTCACTCACCCAAACTACCCAAACTGCACTTCCACACCTCACCAAGTCAGTCTCCTCTGTCCTGAGATCTCCCAAAAGAGAAAAGTCTTTTCTGCCTAACTTATTTTTCCCAAAACTTCTTGGCCTTGCCTGCTTCCTTAACTCAAAGATTCCCCCTCAGTTGCTCCAAGCAATTCTAACACCTCATTGTTTGCCACTGCCACAATGGCAGTGTGGTTCCTAACTCCCTATGCATCCTTAGTTTCCTCTTACTCTCTGTTGTTGGTGACTTCTCCAAATTTTCCAGAGATAATTTCTGAAATCTTGACTTGTCTTCTACATAGTACTGCAGGAAACAACAAAGTGACTCACTGTCTTATTGCACTGCAAAACTTTAAATGTCTGCCTTTAAGAATATGTGATGTCTCCTAAGGTATTCAAAGTATACAAGCTGGCATGATTAACTGTCTTAAGAAACAATAGTTGTTCTGATTGCACTTAGAAATGTCATAAGATTCCAGAGTACATTGTCCTAGAAGGTACTTTTGTTCGTTTTAGTTATGTTCACAATGGTAGAAACAATAATCAAAATGCAAAAAGAGAGCACAGATAATTTGATAGATTGTTTTACAAGTGTTTTATGGTAACTCTGATGGAAGTTTGTGCTATTTAATGAGCTGCTTTCTTTTTCTGTTTTTTCCTTCGATCTTTACAGCTGTCTCCAAAAGAATATTTTCAAGTACAGATAGCACTATGCAATGGTGCTAAGATCCTGATGACAATACACCAAGAACAAGAATGGAAGTAAATTTATTCAGCAATTCTACTGTTGTAAACAGTTCATCTATCAACCATAAGCAGTTGGAAGGGCATAGCCTCTGGGAAGTCATTACTATTGCCACTGTAACTGCAATTGTAAGCTTAATAACTATAGTGGGAAATATTCTTGTAATGATATCCTTCAAGGTTAACAGTCAGCTCAAAACTGTCAACAATTATTATTTGCTCAGCCTTGCCTGTGCAGATCTCATCATTGGAATATTTTCCATGAACCTTTATACATCCTATATACTCATAGGCCATTGGTCTCTTGGAAGCCTCGCCTGTGACCTGTGGCTAGCACTGGACTATGTAGCTAGCAATGCCTCAGTAATGAACCTCCTAGTCATCAGTTTTGACAGGTATTTTTCCATCACAAGGCCTTTAACATACAGGGCCAAACGTACACCCAAAAGAGCTGGCATCATGATTGGTCTGGCTTGGCTAATTTCCTTTGTGTTGTGGGCACCTGTAATCTTGTGCTGGCAGTATTTTGTGGGTGAAAGAACAGTACCACCTGAAGAGTGCCAGATACAGTTTTTATATGAGCCCATTATCACCTTTGGTACTGCAATTGCTGCTTTTTACATTCCAGTGTCCGTGATGACCATTCTGTATTGCCGCATCTACAAAGAGACGGAGAAACGTACCAAGGACCTTGCTGAACTGCAGGGTTCAGAGTCTGTGGCAGAGTTTGAGATGATAAAGCCTCAGAAAGCTCTCCTAAAGTCTTGCTTCAGTTGCAAGCAACAAAACTTAGTCAAAAGAGAGAGGTGTCAGGCTTCCTGGTCTTCATCTAGTCGAAGTACGTCAGCTACAGTGAAAGCCTCTCAGGCAGCGAGTACTTGTAACGACTGGGCTAAGGCTGACCAGTTAACCACCTGCAGCAGCTATGCATCTTCAGAAGAGGAGGATAAACTTGCCTCAGATTCAGTTTTCCAAGTAACTTACAGAAGTCCATCTAAAGGTAAGGCAGAAGAGTTTAATGAGAGTACGGATGTTGTCAAAGACCAACCTGAAGAAAATGATTTTGAGAACCAGAAATATTTTTTGTCACCTGCTGAAGGCCATGTACAAAAGAGTAAAAAATGTGTGGCCTATAAATTCCGGTTGGTGGTTAAGGCTGATGGCGCCCAGGAAGCCAACAATGGTTGCCGTAAAGTAAAAATAACTCCTTGTTCTGCTGCTCTGTCAAAGGATCCTTCCATCAAAAGCATGGATCCAAATATAAATAACCAAATCACCAAAAGGAAACGCATGGTTCTTATAAAGGAACGCAAAGCAGCACAGACTTTAAGTGCCATTCTTTTGGCTTTTATCATCACATGGACTCCCTACAATATTATGGTTTTGATCTCCACATTCTGCTCTGATTGCATTCCCCTGACACTGTGGCATCTTGGATATTGGCTGTGCTACGTGAACAGCACTGTTAACCCCATTTGTTATGCCCTCTGTAACAAAACGTTCAGAAAAACTTTTAAGATGCTGCTTTTCTGCCAGTGGAAAAAGAAGAAAGTGGAAGAGAAACTGTACTGGCAGGGCAATACCAGACTGCCATAATTGCTCTTCTATAAGAGATAAGTGGGAAAATAGATATTAGCATAACCTAGTAAATTGACTATAATTCTGTCTTTTCAAAGCTGTTGCTTTATACGTCTAGGAGTTAAAAACATTCTGCAGAAAAGTAAAATTTTGCATGAAAGTAGTGTGCTTGGGATAAAGTCAGTGGCTGCTGTGAGCAACCCAGGGTGGTTTTGATTATGCAGTAGATCTGTGTTAAAGTTATTATGCTTGGGGTCTTGTGTCCTTTCTTTCAGCCTAAGAATATGTAGAGGAAATTATAAACTACTAGAAATTAGAGTGGGATGGTCATGCAGTCATCAAGTCAGGTCATCCAGTCTATCTCCCTGTAGTGTAGAACTGTTTCTTCCTTTCGTTCGCTTCTCATGTATTGTCTATTTAGTTTTCAATGTGCCAAGCAATGGACTTCGTACTACTTCTATATTGAGACTTTTCCACCTGCTGCTGGAATGAAACAAGGACTATTTAAAGGGGGAAATGCTATCATCCCCAATACTAAATGGTTAGGGAGACTCATAACAATCCAGATGAACACACATGTTATAGGAGAATGTAATACTAAGAAAATTTCCACTTTAAGGGTGACTTCTGTGGAGACATAGGAAGGGCTCATAGTGGAGGAAATAGATAATGTATTTTGTATATGAAGAAGCCAGCCTCAATCTCAGTTCCATCATGCAAGTCATTCTCATCTGTAAAAAACGGTAATGGTTAGCAGATACCTCCAAATTTCTCCATTTCCCAATGCCTTTGAAGGAAATTTTAAAATTTTATGTGATAGTGACAATGGTACAAATCAGAACTGACTGTAAAGCATCACTGACATAGTCTATAGGCTTTGCAACACAAGGCAAGTCTGTTTTGCAATCCTCCCTTGTTGCGCTTCCCCTTGCCCCAAAAGTTTCCATTACTGATAGAATGATGCAGAACAAGAGAAAAATATATATCGATGCCCTATATAATATAAAATTATTATAATCCGTGACAGAAATGGCATGTCTGAAAGAAGAAAGATGTTTAAATAGTTTTTTAATATTTCTATAAAACTATTAAGGACACTTGGCACTTTCATAGCACTTTTTATCTTTAAATATCTTTACAAATATTAGCCAACATCAGATGCTGGGAAACATGAGTTACCTCCAGTCACTATCTTTTGGTCCAGAAGAATCATATCTGCTACAGTACTGGGGGCTGGAGTCAGCCCTTCTGACGGTTGTGGCTTCTGGGACTGAGCTGTGCTGGCCTAATTACAGTGAGCTGAGACTCTGGCCACTAGCTGAGGTTTGCCAGGGCTTTGGGTATATGGTGAGGACACATCTGGAGCAGGGTTGAACTGCATGTGCCTGTCTGATGTCCGTCTTAGATGGGCAGCACTAAGTCTGTGCATAAGCGAGGGGCTGCCTTAGGCAGAAGGCCATTGGAACAGAGCTGGTGACCTGGCTCCTTGTGGTGGGAACAAACATGAAGCCTCAGAAAAGGCCACGAAAAAAAACAAAGTTAATGGCGACAGTAGTCATAAGGAATGAAATCCTAACGTAAACCAATGTTTATGAATACATGTACACAAAATTCAGATTCAGTTCTAGCTTTTCTATCAAAATTCGGGATGAGATGCTCTGGAATATTAGTTTGGGCCGATCTTCATGTTATATTTACTATACGCTTTAGCGCGACACTGCAGTTGTGACATGACCCAGTTGCACATTTCAGGGATTGGATTAGTCATCCTGAATGTATCATTGCTCTCAGTGGAATTGTTTGTATAATTTATTACATTATCAT